ATTGTTCCAAGCTTTCAAGCTTCTACAACTGTCTTCGTTCCGCTCCTCTAATGAAGCTTACGTCATTCTGTCATTGTCGTTAGACTTCGGCAATTCTCATTCCGGCTTCCCTCTTTCTGGTAAGCCACTGTGTCCTCATGGTTTTATTTCTTGTTGCATTCCAAGAAGCTCTGCTTCATTGTTAATCACCATTGTTGTTTTACCCGTTGTTTTCAAATCATCTTCTTGAATACATACTGTTCACACATCTGTTGATTTCTGCCACTGTTCTTGGCTTGACACACTTGTGCAATATTTTTGTCTTGATTTCCTGATAGCTTCATCACCATTCTTGATTACGAATTACATTATTGTTTTCTATTTTCTGTGTCTTTTTCCAGATTCTTCCTTTCAATCCTTGCCTTCAAACTCCGAGATGCCAATCGCCGAGAAGAGCCTTAATCAAACTCTTCGGGAGATCAATGCTGAGCTCGAGGCCGAGAAGGCTGCTAAGAAGTCTTCCCAACTGTCTTCTATATCCTGCCATTGATGCCAAGTAGTTTTGTTTCTTTTTTTTACTCCTTGTACCTTGTACTTTGTCCGTCTTTGTATGCTTTTAATTCGGCCAACGTGCCATTTTTTTAGTCTGAATAATTTATTTTTCAATATTCAGGCCGAAGTGCCTTATTTATTCTTTGAATGCATTTTTCTGATTTCTTCTTTGAATATATGTCTTCTTTTTTCTGCTCTTGTATGATTCTATACTTAGAATAATTTGCATGTCTTCAAAGTACACCTTGACTGTGCAATCTCTTCGGGTAAAATACCTCTGTCACAACTTCTAATCTTGCTCATCTCGGCCTTGTCCTAACACTTGAAAATATTGTAACAAATATTTTCACAAGTGTTGCTTAGGACTTGTCACTTTCTCAATGTCTTCTATCAAGACTTCAGTTTTCCATATTTCAAGTTTTGACAACCTGGTAGTCTCGGCAAGTACGCAGATATTGCTTGAACTTTAATTTAACTTGTAAATTTTTCTCACAAATTTTAATAAATGTTTAACTATCATCCTTTATCATAACATCGACTTAACTTCAGTTTGTAAATTTTTCTCAAAATTTCAACAAGTGTTAAACCATCTTCCTTTATCATAACCTCAGTTTAATTATAACTTGTAAATTCACACAGAATTTCAACAAGTGTTAAACATGACCTCGGTTTAACTTTAACTTGTAAATTCACACAGAATTTCAACAAGTGTTAAACATCATCTTGGTTTAACTTCAACTTGTAAATTGACACAGAAATTTCAACAAGTGTTAAATATCACATCAGTTTAACTTCAACTTATAAATTCACACAGAATTTCAACAAGTGTTAAATATCATCTCGATTTAACTTCAACTTGTAAATTCACACAGAAATTTCAACAAGTGTTAAATATCGCATCGGTTTAACTTTAACTTGTAAATTCACACAGAATTTCAACAAGTGTTAAATATCATCTCGGTTTAACCAACTTGTAAATTGCTACAAATTTCAACAAGTGGTAAATATCATATTGATTTAACCAACTTGCAAATTTCTACAAATTTCAACAAGTGGTAAACATCATATCGGTTTAACCAACTTGTAAATTGCTACAAATTTCAACAAGTGGTAAACATTATCTCGGTTTAACCAACTTGTAAATTGCTACAAATTTCAACAAGTGGTAAACATATTCTTCTTCTCTCTGCCCCCTACATGGCTTCCACATACTCCTTTGCGAACCTTATAAAAGGTCTTCAACCTGGATAACTGCAGTCCAACCTTGTGTGTTTTCTTTTTTATCTTCTGGGATCTGAGATTTGCTCACTGAGCTCTTCTTTTTTCGGACTTAAGTGCTGAGATCTTGTCTGCTAGAATCTTGGATCTGCTCACTCAAGTTGAGCTCTTCTCTCCTCGGACCTACTCATCTAGGCTGAGATCATGTCTTCTAGGATCCGGGATCTAGAATCCGGGATCTGCTCACTTAGGTTGAGCTCTCGTCTTCTCAGGCCTACTTGTCTAGGCTGAGATTATGTCTTCTTGGATCCGGGATCCAGGATTTGGAATTTGGGATCTGCTCACTTAGGATGAGTTCTTCTATACTTGAATGTTATCTCCTTGGGAGCGCTCATGCCCCCTGTCTTTGCACCTCTTCTAGAAGGGTCTTCGTTCATCCGCAGGTATCTATCCTTCCATACTTGGAGGTCATCTTCGTTGTAGTATCTGCTTTGATCTGTTGTCTTTGGTGCGTCACATTCCTGGCCGGCGTCTTTCACTCCGTGACTCTGGTCACGAGTTTCTGTGTTGCTATTGTCCCCTTCAACGTCGAGGTTGATAGATCTCCCATTCCCAGCAGGAGCGTTGTCTCCAGTCTGATCCTTCTGTCCGTCATTGGCTATCTATTCTTCTTTCTTTCTCACAGACGGCGCCAAATTGTGTGAGAAATTTTCCGACCACACTGCCAACTCAGTAATTCAGCTAGAGAGCACTTGCAGAATAGATGACACCTGACTGACCTGCAACAGAAATATAAGAATCCCGCGGTGGTTCGTCCACCCGGGGGCACTCTGACGATCAAGTCAGTATATCTCTTAAAGATAATCAATTATTTAACTCACAAGCTTGAGCCTAAAAAGCATACCTTAGACCCATCGGGTTGCCTCTCTTTTATAGCCAACATAAACCTAGTCCCAATAGAAGCCTAACTTCTATGGACTCATGATTACTGCTAATCTTGGACTCCCAGTAAGATTAGGATAAACTCTCTAAGAGTCTTATCTTAATACAAACTGAAGTCTTCTCTCATTCTAGGACTCTTGTCCCTCATCTAGGTTGAGTTCCCTTTTCGTTCTAGGACTCTTGTCCCTTATCCACTTATTTCGGATTCCGATATATTCGGAGATAACCCCGGCCTTGCCGAGATCACTTCGGCGTCACGACCAGGACACGTGGCACCTCGGCTGACACGTCGGTGTCACCTTGCCACATGTTGGTACTCAGAAAATATATCTCCACAGAAGTTATTCTAAATACTAAACTCGCAAAATTAAAAATAAAAATAAAAATTATAAACAATTCCAACAAATTACACCAAAAAAATCGTGCATATAAATACCTAATTTTCATTTTTTATATACAAAACAATTATGCCTACCGAAAAAGAATTTAAAAAAATAAAAATTATGTACTCTTACTATTAAATGTAGGCGAGACTTCTCTGCAGTTCAATATCAAACTGAAGGGTGTTGCTGGTTCATAATGAGCCTTTGTTTTTGGATTTATCTTGATGATTCAAATTATTTAATTTATATGACTTGTTCAGTATATTATTTTTATAAAAATTTATTTTTTTTAATTAAATAAATATCAATATCTGATCAATATAATTTTTCTATAAAAATAATATACTTGATAAAATTTATATATTAAGTTATTTAAATTATTGAATAAGACTAGACAACGGGCACCTTGGACCAACAACAAAAAGCATGACCTTTTGTGTGCATGACCTTTTACTGCAGTAACACGTGAGTTTCTTTCATCAAAACTTATTTATTTATTTATTTATTTTTTTCAAACAAAATTCTGAAACTTAACCAGTTTTAAACATTAATTTTCAAATTCAAAGCTAATTTGGTAATTTAAATTTTAGTTTTTTTAAATATTTCCTATTTTTTTAAAGATAAAGTTGATATTTGGAAAGTTTAGGCGAGGTTTGAAATTTTTTTTTTTATTTAGGTGAGGTTTGAATTTTTTTTTTAATTTGTTTTTTTTTAAAAATTTATTATAGACTTGAAAGATCTAAATAGTATAAAATAATTAATATTTTTAAAAAATCACCGAAGAAAAAAAGTTTGTTTTATTTTTTTAACACTTGTCAAATATGATGAATCTTGTTAAAATTTTATTTTATTTTATTTTCCACCTAACTAAGTCAACTAAACATGTATTTTTTTTGCTTAAATAACTAAAACGTAATTTTCTTAACAGTAACTAAATTGTTTTATCTAAACAATACTTAAAAAAAAATTGTATAATAAATTAGTTGAAATTGTGCTTTAAAACAATTTTAAAGATAAATTCACTGTTTTTTGGAGTGGTTTCATATGGAAAATAAAATCTATATGTAAGTGCAAAGATATTTGAATTACTTTAATTATCCAGTTTTCAAAATAAATTTTGAGTTTTAGGTACATTTAATTTAAAAGTACTTGAAAAAGTTAAAAATAATATGAATAATTTTTTAAAAATCAATAAATACAAAATATATTGAATTTTTAAATATATATTTTTTGTATTTTGTATTATTTATTGATTTTTTTTTTAAATGTATAAATAATTACTTTTTAAGTATATTTAATACATCTAAAAAATTCACTTAAAAAAGATGAATTAAAATATGAAAATTTGATTTAAAAAACTGAATAACAAAGTGAAGCACATGAATTATGTCTAATTAATTAGCTCGTTGATATTTTGAAAACATTATTTTAAGAACACAATTTCTTAAAATATTGTAAATTCCAAAAATAAAATTTAAATAACTGGTTTAAAAAAAAAAAAAAACTAACACGTGTCCCTTCTTGAAGTTTATCTGATGGGAAAGACTTCTGGTGATCTAACTACCCCATGCTTTAGCATTTTGAGCCTAGGGTATTGATTGAAGTTAGATAATTGAATCTACACGTGTCACACGAAAGGTGTCCACCCAGACAGTAAAAGCATTCCCTCCCAACTTTCTCTCTCTCTCACACACACATCTCACATCCACAAGGGACCAAGCACAGCAAGGAAAAAAAATCTAGGAAACAGGCATTACTGGCCATATTTGGAGGATTCAGCTGTTGGGTATTTCAATTGGTAAGCAGTTTTCAACTGTTTTCTTCAGTTATTGAATCTACACGTGTCACACGAAAGGTGTACACCCAGACAGTAAAAGCATTCCCTCCCAACTTTCTTTCTCTCTCACACACACATCTCTCACATCCACAAGGGACCAAGCACAGCAAGGAAAAACAATCTAGGAAACAGGCATTACTGGCCATATTTGGAGGATTCAGCTCTTGGGTATTTCAATTGGTAAGCAGTTTTCAACTGTTTTCTTCAGTTATTTGTGAAATTTTTAATTTTTTTTGAGAGACTTAGAGATTAGATATAAGAGTACCAAATCCCATATGGGTTTATTCTTCTATGTGTATATATGTAATTGATTGTTGGGTTTGTGTTTGTTGGGAGAAGAAAGAAAGAAAGAAAGAAAGAAAGAAAGAAAAGAAAAGTTGAAGGTGACTCATATTTCAAGAGGCTGAGATGGGTTGCCTCAGATCCATGAAACCCAAGATTTATGTGAGTTGAAAACTGAAAAGGTCCCACCTTTTTAGGGTTTCCTTGTGATTCTTGGGATTAGTCTCCCTTTTCCTAGGTTCTTTCTCATGACCCTCTTTCTGTTTCCTTCTTGAGATCATGGATAGGGGTTTGGTGGTGTTGGCTGTTTCATATGTATGCGTTTATTTAAGGGTTGGTGGTGGAGGATGGGATTCAGGTATTCTCTGGTTGGTCTTTTCTAGAAAAGAAGAATTTGGGAATTGCTAGTACCTTGGAGAAACTCAATTCTTCCCAGGCTTGAAATTTCTGTATATGGAAGGTTAGACTTTAGATCCATTGTTCCCCCACCAGATCTGATTACCCTTTTTCATTTTTCTCATCTTCCCCTAATTCCCACCTTCAATTTGCTTCTCTTAGTGATTTTACTTTGTGTTTCTTTTAATTTGTTTGTTTTTTCAAAATAGATGTTTGATTGGTGTTTGTCAGGCATTCCATTCTGCTCATCTTTTTTAGCTTGTACCCACCTCTAATTTTCTCTTCGCGTGCTTTGTGTTTTTGAGTCCTTGTCCTAAAAGGGTCTGATAACCCTTTTTCATTTTGCTCGTCTTGGCCTTATTCCTACCTTTAATTTGTTTTCAGTGCTTTTACTCTGCGTTTCTTTTCTTTTATTTTTATAATTTTCAAAATCAGGCATCGCATTCTGCTCATCTAATCTTTAGGTTATTCCCACCTCTAATTTTCTCTTGATTTACTTTGTATTTTTGAGTCCTTGACCTAAAAATGGTGGTTCATTGAGGTTGTCTGCAACGAAGGGGGTGTTTGGGAAACCTGAAGGGGGTGTTTGGGAAACCTGCAAGTCTTGTCCCAAGTTGATTACTGTTAGGAGATGGAGAAGTCGTAACAATGTTTTTGTAGGTGAATCCTTGTTGATATCTGCCTAGTAGAACGAACCGTGAACTTGTCATACTACTGGGAGTTGGGGGGTACTTGTTAGTTTGTTAGCACTATACAGAGAGGGGGGTTGATGGAAGAAATGTCTCCAGCGGTTTCACTTACACTAAGCTTAAGTAATCCAGTGTGTGACAACTCTGGAATTGCCAACCACGTCGAAATCACGCGGCTCAAACTGGTCACTGAAACAGCAAGCTTGTTATCAGATCCCGAGTCATTGCTTCCTGAAGAGTCTGTTTGTAGTTCGGATGAAACTGGAGAAAATTCTGATTTGCCAGAGACAATGCCCAAAAGTGAAAGCAGTTCAATTGCTAGTGATGCCCTCATTCAGGAGAGTGAGGAAGATGGAGTTTTTACGGTGGGAAATGACCCTAATGGAATTGTTGTTGAGGAAATGTTGCCTATGGATGCTAGTTCTGAAATCAGTTTGCCAATATCAGTTGAAAGCGAGAAAATTGAAACAGATCAACTTGTAAGTCTACCAAGTATTGACCAGAAGTCTGCCATTGATCTCTTATCTGTAGTGACAAGCCCACATGAAATCGAAAGGGGTCAAATTAGCAGAGGTGGCATCAAGAGTGTCTTTGAACTAGACTGCGTTCCTCTTTGGGGTTATGTTTCTATTTGTGGAAAAAGACCAGAGATGGAAGATTCAGTTGTAGCTGTTCCTTGGTTTATGAAGATTCCTATCCAAATGTTTGTCGGAGATGATGTGATCAATGGACTAAGCCAACGTGTGAGTCATATAACAACACACTTTTTTGGAGTGTATGATGGTCATGGAGGCTCTCAGGTACATTAGCTCCCCTCATCCTTTTTAAATTGACTTTGTCGTGTCCAACTAATGGTTATCCTTTGAGATTAGTGTCACACAATTTTATGAATTTTGAATGATTTTGTATTTTGCTTCGCCATTTTTTATTATAATTTGCTAGCTATTATTGAATGCACCTATTTTTATTAAGACTACTTTTAAACATTGAGTATAGTTTGGAAAGGTGACGTTATGTGCTGGAATTAATTTCCTATCATCTGTATCACCTTTCCTTCACATCTAGATTAATAACGAAAAAGATTACGGTATTAGAGAATTCTAGAAAGAAAAAAAAAAGAAAAAGAAAAAAGGAAAGTGATCTTGAAGATATTTTTCCTAAAATTCCTGTTTGGGTTAGGTATTAACTCTTGAATATTCAGATAATAAAAAGGGGGAAAAAAGAAAGATTCCCAAGCTTCCATTATTTCAAATTATACAACTCCCTTTGAGTTCATAGTTGGCTCTTGATGGAAGCAGGTTGTGACACGTGTATCCCGATCTATGTTACTTGGAATGTGGATCGTTCTGGTACGCGAAACAGGAATGGGAACGTGGTATGCCGCATACTCTAAAATGTGATGCTATAGAGGGAGATTTGTATAGATAAAAGATTACATTACACTAATAAGAATTTAAGGTACTTCAAGAGCTTTATATTTTATGTTTTGTCCCATCAAAACTTAACTTACCTTACATTTTAGTTCATTATATTTATTTATTTTTTCTCCTAATGAAACATTTAAGGAAATATATTTCAAAAAACTTTTGAGATCGCTTTAGATCACTAAATTTACCATTTTGGAAAAAAAGTGTAGCATGTTTCAAAAAGTGCAATCTGAAACATAGTTCGTTAGGGTATTAGCGTTATTTGGTAACATAGATCTCGATTAATCGACAAATGTTGTTATTTGAAGACTAACCGATCCATTATGCATAAGAAAACTTTGCTTAATATTATGAACAACTCTTAATCAGTTTTTGAGTTCCATATTCTATTCTCAAAAAAATGTCTCAAATTTATTCTTGAACCTCTTCTCCCAACATATTCACTCTACTATCCTGTTTATCCTAAATTTAAAATGTTGTATATGATTCCCCGGTCCCAAAATTATTGCATTAATTAGAGGTGTTTTCTCTTCAGGTTGCGAACTATTGCCGTGATCGGATGCATTTCGCTTTAGGCGAGGAGTTAAAAGATCTTGAACCCAAGTTAGTTGAAGGAAGTATGATGGATACTCAGCAGGCTGAGTGGGAGAGAGTCTTCACCCGTTGCTTCATGAAGGTTGACGATGAAGTTGGAGGAAAAGTCAACAGAGATGTTGCTAGTGACAATGCCGATGCCTCTGGTGGTAGCGTTGATCCTGTTGCCCCGGAAACAGTTGGGTCTACTGCTGTTGTGGCATTAATCAGTTCATCCCATATCATAGTTGCAAACTGTGGTGACTCAAGAGCAGTCCTCTATCGTGGCAAAGAACCCATGGCATTGTCGATCGATCATAAAGTAAGGCATGTTTTTATTGTTTTTGCCCTTGAGATTTGAAGCTCTTTGTGGAAAAACTAATCTTAGTTTACCTTTTCTTGTCAGCCAAACCGAGAGGATGAATATGCTAGGATTGAAGCATCTGGAGGCAAGGTGATACAGTGGAATGGACACCGTGTTCTTGGCGTTCTTGCAATGTCAAGGTCCATTGGTATGTATCCTTCAATTGTAATCTTGTTGCTATTGAGTTGAATATTTTGCAAGATCAATCACAACCCAATCGAATCCAATTTTCATTTGACGATAGGACAACCAAAGATGAGTGTGATGCCAAAATTATATTTTGAGTTAACCAATCAAAAAAAAAAAAAAGAAGTTTTTTCAGTTGATTTTATATTTTAGTTTCTGAACATGATGATCATCACACAATTTAAAATGCGATCACATGCACATAAGAAAGAGAGATAGAAATAGAGGTAGAGAAAAATATGACAGAGAAGAGAGAAATAATATAAAATTTATAAGAGAAGATTTTGGCAAGATTAAATATTTATAGTGGCGAACTGTTGGGCATTTATTGAAAATAAAAAGAAAAGAAAAGAAAAGAGGAGATATAAAGATTTAGGGGCATATTTGAAAGTTCTAGGGAGTTATTGAAAACTCGTTTTCAATTAGAGTTAAAAGTTTGATTTTCAAAAAATTGAGAAGTCTCAATGTGGCTCCGCTGCACATGCACATGTGCATATGCGGCTCCATTGCCTTACTTCCCTGTACTCACTTGCATGCATAGATTGGACAGATAGGCTTTATGTTGCTGAATTACTTGCTTGTTTTAAATCTACGCTTCTGACCTCGAGCCTAACTGCCTCTCCTCCCCTTACTCAATTGGTCCATTTATTTTTGGGGAAATTGAAATTCAGTGGAAGTTTTCAATTTTATTTTATTTTTAAAAATAGTGGTAAACTTTATCAATTTTAATAATTAAAGTTATAAACTTTTCCATGAACTTGTAAGTATTTTGGAAAGATCTCACTGATTTGCAATTTACCCATTATTTTTTTTTTGTTAAGATTGCCGGCAAGGTCTGAAATATCTTTTGTGAATGTCATAAAATAATTGGAACCAGTCAGATTGAAATGAAATCCCAAAACAATGGTCCGAATCCTGTGAACAGAGGCGAAATGTTGAGATGATGATAACATAGTCATGATCTTTTGAATTATTTTTGAAGTTTAAATTCCAATAATTGGATCCACTAGGAACTTCCGAGTATAGCTTAGTGATTTTGGTGGTACAGTGCTAAAAATACTAGGCCCGCACATGATTGCAGAACACTAGAATGTGAACATATTCTCTTCTTTCCATTTGATTGGAGCTTCATCTATGTGGAATGGATACATATATTCTTTTTTTCTATGTTTATTTCTTCATCTAACCTGAACAAAAATAGATGCACAGATGTTGGTACTTGCTAAATGCCAAGAATCATCTATATATTAGTTGGCGAATCAATAATCGTATCGGAAATTAAATTTTGCAAATCATGAGTCAAGCCGAATATAGAACTGTTAAGATTTAGTAGAAACTATAGATATTAAACAATTATATAGTGAAATAAATTGATTTTTAGCACATGTCATAAAATAGTTCTTATATAAGAACATATGATTGCTCCATCTACTTTGGAAGGTATTGCCTTCATAGCAAGAGATGTGGGTTCAAATCTGACCAACCATAAAATTATTAAAAAAATCATAATATAAATTCTCTTTGATTAGAAACCTGTGGATCATGGAAATAACAACAAATCATGCATTTATTTTCGTAGGAGTTGTGTTATGCCCATTTTACTAGTAAAAAAAAAAAAGAGATAAATAATGGTCACATAAGAATTGCATGATCTGTAAAGTGAATTGATTGTGTGTTGTGCAATTCATAATAGATTCTATTCCAAAATACATTTATTCATAGATTCTAACCGATGTATGCACGAATCACAAATCATAAGATTTTGATAACAAATGTATGTACTATCATGGGGTCCTGCATTGATGTTGGATTTGTTGTTCTTCCATTCTTCATGCAGGTGACAGATATTTGAAACCATGGATCATACCCGAACCAGAAGTCATGTTTATCCCCCGAACAAGAGAAGACGAATGCCTCATCTTAGCCAGTGATGGGTTGTGGGACGTAATGACAAACAATGAAGCATGCGAAGCAGCTAGAAGACGCATTTTGCTGTGGCATAAAAAGAACGGCGATGTTCCTCTTGTGGGACGGGGCCAAGGAATCGACCCTGCAGCTCAAGCAGCAGCAGAGTACCTTTTGATGCTCGCCCTCCAAAAGGGAAGCAAAGACAATATCTCCATTATCGTTGTTGACCTAAAAGCTCAGAGGAAGTTCAAGAGCAAATCATGATGTCAAGTGTTCTTACCATCATTGTTCCATTGGTTGGTTCGATCTCTAAGTCTTATAAAACCACGTATCAATATTAGATAGTTTGGTCCGTTCATTTTTGTCATGGACCTAATGTGTATGACAATAGCGATTACGTATATTATATAGAAAACTATATGACAAGACTGTTCTCTTGTTTGAACTTCTTAGCTATGATGTGTCCCCAGTTATGGCTCTGTAAATTGGAGCTTCTGTAGAAAGTAGGTAGGGAGTTCTATAATCCCTCAATTCAGAAGTTCTTGTCCTTTTGTTTTCTTTTCTTTTTGTACAAGGAGCTTCTAGTATCCGCACAAGAAGCTGGGATGGAAAAAATGTATTTGAGACTCATTACCCATCCTTTATGGCTTTACCTAAGGATTAAGGAAGCTACTTTTTAATAAGTTGAGACATATCGTGTCATAAATCACCAACTCTCTCACAAGAACGGGCTTATCTTGTGAGAGGGATTGTAATTTATTCGGTGTTTGTAGCATTGTTGCTAATTTTTACATCTAAACATCGAGAATGTTCAGATACTTACTGATTGTCTTGTTTTGGCATCAATTAAATGGGTTGAGTTAGCACGGATATGTTTTCTTCTTATTTTTGATTAGATGTACTATGGAATATATTTGATGCTTATTTATTGATGCCTATTTTGATGTACTTTGGAATATATTTGATATTTATTTATTGATGTTATATTTTCTCAATTTTTTTTTAATTTTTATTATTATTTAAATGGCATGTTGTGAATGGGAAGCATTAGATAATATGTCCAATCATTTTTTTTTTGGAAGTGCATCAGTTATATGTGCCTAAAGGTGGTGCAATCGCATTTCTATTCCACTTTAGAGAGAACAATCTGAGCTAACATATTTGTTTCTACACAGGTATTTTTTTTATAAATAAAAAGTTTAAATTTTATCTACCCATTAAATATTGGGTTAAATATTTTTTGGTCAGATCTAATACTAGGTTTGTAAATAGATGGGAAAAGCAAAATTAAACCACTAATTTATTAAAAATGCCCACACAATTAAAACCGTTTAGATGGCCAAACGGGACGTAACTCTAGTTACAAATAACATCTTGTTGCATCCAAACACAAATGAGATTATTTAGAAATACACATTAAATGCTGAGATTAAGCATTGAACTTTTGGTAATAGATCCAAAACAACGAAAAAAGTGTTTGTAACTGTTCAAAAAAAATAAAATAAAATGCATTGAACTTTTGGTAATAGATCCAAAATAAATATAACAAAAAAAGAGTGTTAGTAATTGTTCAAGAAGAAATGCAACAAAGAAAGGTAGAGCTAGCTCAATCCCTAGTGAGGATGTTGTGAGATTCTTTCGTGCATTCCTCATTCTCCATCTTCCTAGCAAACCAGAGCATCAAGCTTATTTTTTCAGAGAATGCAAGCAATCAATATTTTGTAACAAAACCACAAGATCATAGTGTAAATGTATCGCATCAACGGTCTAATAAAAAATGATATATTTCTCATACTAGTCAAACCAGCACCATATCAAATCTCATCATCACTCAGTATCAAGTTGGAATAAAATTATCAAAAATTGTATGAATCACAAAACCAAAATTCCACCCAGAATTTTCTGCATACAATCAAACAGTCACATGACCGAAAATGCAATTACTCATTGATCTACCTTCTCCGCTTCTGTACAAGCTTTGGAAACTGAAGCGGAACAGGAAGTGTAGCCACCGATGAATTTCCCGTGCGGAGAAACTTGCAACCCAAATTTTGATAATGCTGTCTGACGTTCACGGTAGTCATTCTCAAATCCTTAGCTATATCTGATGGGTAGGTCTGGAAACCATCAGCAATTAGAGTAAGAACCAAGACATAACTAATGAGAAGATCTTTCTTCTCATCCGTAAGCCATTTTGAATCTGAATTGGCAAACATGGTGGAAAACTTTTGAACTAAGATGCTCGGGATTTTATGATGCTTGGCAGAGGAGGAACCTTCAGATGAATGTTTGTCCTTGAACTTTATGAGATGGGTGATGTATGAGAACACACAAGCAAGCGTCGTCCTCTCCACCTCATCCTAAACAAAAAAGACACGTATTTGGTTATAGACATTGATAACAAAACACATTACAAGGAAACAGAGATGATCTGATTTCCAAATTAAAATGAATTTGGAGACAGTAGACAGAAACATGTGACGGCAATATGGAATACTATTGACTTATTTGATGCAGCTTTTCTCAAGCTGACAGTTGAAATTAAAAAGCAAAAACTAAGCACACCCCTTCCTCAACCTTCCACATAATTGGTTATTTTTTTCTTCAGCCTATTTAAGCTATTTCTGCCTTATAAGCAGAAGTTGCACCAAATATTCTGCCACAAGCTCCAAAAATAAATAAATAAATAACCTATAAGCAACCTCTATAAGCTGCACCAAACAGGGCCCAATATCTTCTGGTATTTTACACCTTGTCCACCATCCAGGAGGGTTGGAATACATACTCAAAAAGTATAATATTTGTGATTTTTTTTAAAAAAATTCAGTAAATACCAAAAATACAAAAAAAAAAAAAAAAACAAAATAACAAAAAAACAAAAATTCAATACATTTTTTGTATTCTCGTGTATTTATTGATTTTTAAAAATATTTTTCTTTTTAGATGCATTTAAGTAAGGTGCATCTAAAAAAGTAAAAAAATTTCTTAAAATTTTAAAAATATTCACTAAAAACAAAACAAAAAAAAAAAAACGAAAAACAAAATACTCATTTCTAGAAAATTGAAATCAAACATAGTGACACAAACACCCAACAATTGGTTTCCAAGAGACTGGCATTCCCTGATTATTTAGATCCTTTTTATTTTGTATATTTATAAGAGAGAAACTTGAATCAATCATGGATGGATGCCTTTATTGTTTGTCCGGATAAAAAAACACAAATATTATACTTTTTGAGTGTATTTATGTTAGGTGTATCCAAAAATTAAAAAAATTGCAGAAATATTGAAAAAATTCAATGAAAACAAAAAAACACAGAAAATAAAAAATTTCAATTTTTAGAAAAGTGAATTAAAAAAACTCAAACCAAAATGAAATTCAAACCAGATCACAGAAATGGTGCTCAGTGCCATGGATTTTATGAACAGGCCAAAGGAAGTGAAATCTGAAATCCACACCTAATCAGAGACAGTGGCAAATTAAAAACCACTTAACTGCTTACCTTAATACGTTCCAACTTACGAAGTCTGTTGTAAACAAAGCTTGGGTAAACATTAGGTGCTACCTCTGCTCCAACATGCAAAAGCTCAAGAATATCTCCAAGGTAATCCCACTCCCCTGCGAAAATAATCATGTCCACTGGATAAGCCATCTGGGGTGTAGTAGCAGAAGTGTCATGGGGTGGAACATTACGAGCATTGTGACTACCAACACTTTCAAGAGCCTCCTTGTTTATCTTGATTCCCTCTATTTTCCTATCCAACTCCTCCTGAGTTTCAGGATTTTCTTTTCGATATAAGGTCCGCCTTTTCTTGTCCTGCAACATGAAATATATATTTACGAGCAAATCTTTCCAATGGAACAACAAAAGATAAACTCCACAATATATCAACTGTGTTCATGCATCACTGATAGAACACATGCATGACAATACTGATCTACCATCTGATAGACTTCACCAATGAATTCCAATCAGTAAAAGCTTCAGATGGCCATAAAATTGTTCATCTAAAACACTTTTCACAAAACACATATATCAATGAAAGTTTCATTTCCAAAAACTACCATGCAATATTTCTTGTTGAAAATTGAGATGACCTAGCACTTGTACATAAACATATTCACTCTCAATAAGCTAAAAGACGGTTATACCTGCTTTACTGACTTCGCTGTTGAATACATGCGTTTCAGCTCTCTAATTTTATCTGCCCTCTCTTCTGCCCTGAGTTCTTCCTTAGAAGGTTCCTTTTCATATGAATCTGACCCTGCAACTATTGGTTCCAATCTAAATATCTGCAGCAACATACCAAGCCAAAACAATGTTCTCAATTCTTTGTAAACCGTATAATTCAATACACACGGACACATAAAATTAATATATAATGTACTCACCTTTTAATTTATTGTCACTAGGCTACTCCTTAGATATAGGATCAATCTTTTCCTTACCCTTCCTCTTAATAGCTACTCTTCTCTTCTCTATCCCACCCCTTTTCTTAATTTTTTTTATTTTCCTTTTGCTGGGTGATATCATGTTTGTTGATTGAACATTTGTTTTCTCCTATAGTATGTCTTTTAGTGAAGATGTTAGTAGCCAAAATTAGTCATCATTACATATAATTTACTCTTCTATTATTACAGGTTTCTTGATTTAATGAACATTTGATGAAATGACTCAAAATGATTTTTTGGGTACTTTTTCATCAAATTTAGCAGAAAGCACCAACAACATAACCTGAACGCATCTTAGAGTTTCATCAAATTTGAGTAAAAAGTTGAATAAGAGCTTCATCTAATTGAGCGTTCCAACGGAGAATTTTGAAACAGACTTTCTACAGTAAATTGCAATGAAGTGGATATCCGGGGACAATCGGCCAGACGTGCTCCTGCGTTCTCCTTGAGTTTAAAGCTAACGGCATAATTTGATGAAAGGCTCCAGATATTCTCAAACATTCTCAATTTGATGAAAAGTTTAAGACATCACTGGTTTGATGTTAACATTGAAACACCAATACTGAACTTTTTTTCATCAAATTTAAATTTGATGAAAGAAAACGAGTAAGCGTTGAGACACACTTATATGAACCTGGTGAGAGAGAGAGGCAGAAACAAAATTACCTTGTTGGAGACAATAGGGGCAATGTTCAAAGTCTGGGACTCCTTATCAAGAACCCCAAGAGCATAATTACAAAGCTGAGGAGCCATGGCCTCACCCAAATAGTTCGTACTGACGAAATTGACTTGCGACCCATTAGGGCTGACAAGGAGTTGCAACCTCTTGGTTCGATTCTCGTGCCTGAAAACCCTTACCTTGGGTTGCGCCTATGTCGATAATTCTTCTTTGAGAGGATTGAATCCAGAAGGAAAGTAACCGACGTAGAGGGGTGATCTTTGTCGGGATGTTCAATGAAAGTCCCGAGCATCTTCACATGAATGTTCTCTTTCTTCTTCTTCATCTTCTTCTTCTTTTTCCTCTTGTTCTCTTCTTCTTCTTCTTCTTCGTATTCTTCGATTGTTGTCTCTGGTTTATCTTCTTCCGAAGACTCTTCGGCTTTGTACAGCTTCGTCTTTGCCATGGTGTCTCTCTCTCTATCTTTTGCAGTGGAGTGAGTAGTTTTTTGGGGTTTGAAGTGAAGATGGTGCATGCATTATGATTATTTTACATTTTAGTCCTCAAGTTTTAGTGAATTCCTAATCTGGCACTTAAATTTTATTTATTTATAGTTTAGTTCTTGAATGTTTATTTCTTCCAATTTGGCCTAATTACCAACTGTGGTCCCATTTTTTACGAAAATTACCATGGGTCCTCTTCTCACTATTTTTACTTAAATTTGATGAAATTTTTTATTCAACATTGGAGATGCTCTAAGACTTAAAATTTAACATATTAAAAAAATTGAAGTAACTCAAACCATATAAGTCGAGTTGGTTCAGTTATCAAATTTTATAGGGCAAATTACATTGTCTTTTTTATGTTTAGCCCTTTTTTAACTTTGACCCTTAAAGTTCGTTTTTTTCTCACTTTAACCTTTCATGTTTTAAATTTTTCTCAGTTTACTCATAAAGTTAATTTCTATTAAAAATTAAATAAAAAATGACATATTAACAGTCACGTAATATAAAAATATTTTATTACATATAACTCGCATCTTTGAAATAAACTTAAATCCTAATTTAATAATATATTTTTTATGTTATGTAACAGTTATTATGACATTTTCTATCTAATTTTGAAGATAATTTAGTTTATGAGTAAATTGAGAAAAATTTGAAATATATATGGCCAAATTGAGAAAAAATAAATCTTAACAACTAAAGTGAGAAACTGGCCAAACATAAAAAGGGCAAAGCATAATTTACCTAATTTTATAGGTATTTTGTCAATCTTAAACTTATAAGATTATCTCCAACGTTTCACCTTTTCTTTTATCAAATTTAAATTTGATGAAAAATTGATTAGAATCCTGCTACAACGCTGTCATTAGTTTGATATCAAATTGAGAATGTCTAAAAGTTTTCATCAAATTGCAGATGCTTAAAACTTTTGATCAAATTACTGTAAATAGTCGTTAGTGAGTATTGGACGACTTCTAGACATCCACTTCTTTGCAATTTACACTATCCGATTGACTAGCCAGCCATCCTCCCAATCGTTTGCCCGATCAACCGGTAATTTGATAAAAGATCGAAAATTTTCGTTAAAACGTGCGATATCAGATAAAATTTTTACTCAAATTTAATAAAATAAATGAATAAACGTTGTAGATGTCCTAACATGATTTAAAAAATAAATAAATCAATAACAAAGAGCATATTCCTTTTTCTGTCAAACAATTGATGCCCTGGTCCCACCCATTAAAGAAAAAAAAAATTAAGAAAATCCAAAAAACGATTGCAGCTCAGTCTATTTCAGATTACACAAACAGGGCTAGGAAAGTACAACGCATATGATGACGGCGTTTACCATACCTGATAGCTTTCTTGCTCATGCAGAAGAGAGAGCTCTAGTGCAGTGGTGTGGTTGGTGGGGGTAGGGGGAAGCAAGCATCCTCCCTCTCCTTGGCTCCTTATTTGGTGGGCCATTGGGTTCACTTTTGGGCCCAATTTTGATGATTTAAACCGTTCATATTTTAGGATTTGTCATGTATATTATATCTGTAAAAAATCAAGTTGATCAGATATCGAAAGAACTAAAAATCATTTATTAAAAAAAATTAATAAATAGTTTTATTGTTTAATAAAACTTTTAATTCACGTGATTTTCGATATCCGATCATTAGTTTGATATCAAATTGAGAATGTCTAAAAGTTTTCATCAAATTGCAGATGCTTAAAACTTTTGATCAAATTACTGTAAATAGTCGTTAGTGAGTATTGGACGACTTCTAGACATCCACTTCTTTGCAATTTACACTATCCGATTGACTAGCCAGCCATCCTCCCAATCGTTTGCCCGATCAACCGGTAATTTGATAAAAGATCGAAAATTTTCGTTAAAACGTGCGATATCAGATAAAATTTTTACTCAAATTTAATAAAATAAATGAATAAACGTTGTAGATGTCCTAACATGATTTAAAAAATAAATAAAACAATAACAAAGAGCATATTCCTTTTTCTGTCAAACAATTGATGCCCTGGTCCCACCCATTAAAGAAAAAAAAAATTAAGAAAATCCAAAAAACGATTGCAGCTCAGTCTATTTCAGATTACACAAACAGGGCTAGGAAAGTACAACGCATACGACGACGGCGCTTACCATACCTAATAGCTTTCTTGCTCATGTAGAAGAGAGAGAGCTAGTGCAGTGGTGTGGTTGGTGGGGGTGGGGGGAAGCAAGCATCCTCCCTCTCCTTGGCTCCTTATTTGGTGGGCCATTGGGTTCACTTTTGGGCCCAATTTTGATGATTTAAACCGTTCATATTTTAGGATTTGTCATGTATATTATATCTGTAAAAAATCAAGTTGATCTAATATCAAAAGAACTAAAAATCGTTTAATAAAAAAATTTTAATAAATAGTTTTATTGTTTAATAAAACTTTTAGTTCATCCTCCCTATTTGGGGGAGCAAGCATCCTCCCTCTCCTTGGCTCCTTATTTGGTGGGCCATTGGGTTTACTTTTGGGCCAAATTTCGATGATTCGAACCATTCACATCTTAGAATTTGTCATGTATATTATATCTGTAAAAAATCAAGTTGATCAGATATCGAAAGAACTAAAAATCATTTATTAAAAAAAATTAATAAATAGTTTTATTGTTTAATAAAGCTTTTAATTCACGTGATTTTCGATATCCGATCGACTTGATGTTTTACAAATATAATATATATGATAAATTTTAAAATGTGAACGGTTCGGATCATCAAAATTGAACTCAAAAAGTGAACTCAATGGCCCACCAAGTAGGAAGCCAATGAGAGAATTCAAGGAGAGGATCTTGCTCGGGTGGGGGGTGTGTCTTTTCAGTTCGTGGGTGACTGAAGAAGCACTTCTCTCCTAGAGCTACTTTTTCTTCATCGCCCTTCCTTCCTTCTCTCTCTTGCTTTTCTTCTAAACCTTGCACAGGCAATCTCTCTCTCTCTCTCTCTCTCTCTCTCTTGATTATCTTTTTGTTTGTTTGGCTGTATAAGATTGGAATATCTGATTCAAGTAATTTTGATTCAGCTTTTTGTGGGTTTTGGTTGGAGTCTTTTTCTTCTTCTTCTTTCATTATTATTATTATTATTATTATTATTTTTAAATTTGGACCATCAAATTTTCTTGTAAGTTTTGTAAATATGTAAGGTTGCATAAATCATGGGTTTTTGTTTTGAATGTTTGGTTTGGGAATTTCGGAAGCTGTTTACAAGTTTTCCGGATTCATTCCTTTTAATTGAAAGGGATATGAATTGGGATTTCTTGTTTTGATAGAATTGTTAGTGTTACATGCTTACCTGGTAGTCCTTGGAGAGATATCATTATAAATGAAACTACCATCATTAACAATTAGGGTCTATCCCTATGTAATGCAATGCTGTTGTTAGTGTGAATTCTGGCTTTATTTTTAAGTTAAAAATATATATTTTTTTCCTTTCCTTTTATTTTCTAATGGGGCACTTGTGTCTTCTCATAACCCTTGTCATCTTTTTGCAAGAGTCTTATATTATAATGTGGAGGTTATAGTCTAAATGAGCTTTCATTCTTATGTTCAAGGTTTTATTGACTTGGAAACTTCATATCATCGTAGTATAAGTATAACCGATTATCTTTACAAAAGTTACTTTAATTAGTTTATATTTTATGTAACAGGTGCTATAAAAGAATCGGAGGAGCTTGCGACACAATTTGCCTAATTCTTTACCTTTGGATACATGGATCAGAGTACTCAACTTGCCTTGATATATGGTTTTTATTGCACCCTTCATTATAGCCTACTGTTTGCCTCAACTTAATAGTTGCATGGCATTTTCTTATAGGAGCACCCTATAATAAGTTGAGTTTTACTAGAAGCATTAATGATGAAATGAGATACTGGACAGAGCTACGCCATAATTTGTTCACTAGAATTCATGCTTCCATGATCAAATGATGGCAAGATTTTGCACCTTTATTAGGATCAGATCATATATTTGATCTTTTTCCCTAATAAAGGGAGCACTTTTGGAGAAGTAATCAACCCCGTATTGGTAATGAGGTGTACATTTTGCTTTAAATGTTAGAAATGAAATTTTGATTGAAGCAGTTTAGGGCAAACTTGCACATGGTCGGTTAGGGAAAAATAAGATCACTTTGTAACCCTGCTTTATTGATGCTTCTGCACTGCTGCAGCAAAGAGCTGCCACTTTTGGGATAGTTAGGTTGTTCAGTTGGTGGTTTACGTGGGTGGTACACCTTGCAAGAGATATCAGTATAAATGAAACTACCATCATTAGCAATTAGGGTCTATTCCTATGTAATGCAATGCTGTTGTTAGTGTGAATTCTGGCTTTATTTTTAAGTTAAAAATAATTTTTTTTTCCTTTCCTTTTATTTTCTAATGGGGCACTTGTGTCTTCTCATAACCCTTGTCATCTTTTTGCAAGAGTCTTATATTTTAATGTGGAGGTTATAGTCTAAATGAGCTTTCATTCTTATGTTCAAGGTTTTATTGACTTGGAAACTTCATATCATCGTAGTATAAGTGTAACCGATTATCTTTACAAAAGTTACTTTAATTAGTTTATATTTTATGTAATAGGTGCTATAAAAGAATCAGAGGAGCTTGTGACACAATCTGCCTAATTCTTTACCTTTGGATACATGGATCAGAGTACTCAACTTGCCTTGATATATGGTTTTTATTGCACCCTTCATTATAGCCTACTGTTTGCCTCGTCTTAAAAGTTGCATGGCATTTTCTTATAGGAGCACCCTAAAACATTTATTTATCTGCATAGCCAATTCATACTGGCTAATGGGTTGCATGCAAACTTGCTAGGTGGACTGGGTAGTGATAGACACAACATTTTCATTTTGATAGAAATTTGGGTGATATTCAAGAATCTATATCAAAATAATCGTTAGAATGGTTTGCAATGGCAGCACAACATTCTATGGTTCTGCATGAGTGGTTGCAGAACACTTACACTAGGATCTGGAGTGTTTGGTATGTCTTTCTTTCTTTATTTATTTTTTGTTTGGCTCGTCTTTGGCATGTTTGTAGACTCTTCAATGTAAATTCTAGGAGTGTAGTTAATGCTGCTGCTGTGTTGTTGGTATGATTAGTTTTATTTGTAGTGATGCTGTATTGGACCTTGTTTTTGTAGTTTATGGTGGCTAATGTTGTAGTATCATCTTTCTGATAAGTGATGGGTTTCATTTGGGGAGTTTCACACTTTCACTATTTTATTGAAATGTATACGTTTTATGCATAACATTTTCAAATGTGTGTTTTTTGTTCTCAATGACATTGGAATAAATTTAGTTTTAAAATTGTAGGAAATTGTTTCGTTTGCAGCTATTTCAATCTAATTACTCATTCTTTCTTTGACAAGCCTTTTGTCATTCTTATTTTACATAAACTTGATTGGAAGTTGTTTGCCCGTTCAAATGCCTATGGAATACAACCAATGCAATTAAGCTCCCCCTTTTATGATTAGCATATAGTTTATTAAACCAATATGTTTGTCATGTTTCAAACTAACATTTATTTGAATTGGTGTACGAACATGGGGTAATGGACTGCGAGCATGTTTTGTGCTTTATGTTTGTTTATTCCTAGGGCTTTGTGTTGTTGTTGGAAAGCATTTTATATTTATTGTGGTTGTGGGTCTGTGTAGTAGGTTCTCCTATGTGCCACATATTCACCGTTTCATCATCTCCAAAGGCTTGGATCCACGTATCTGCCTTTCGAGATGACATGTGGACCCATGAAGTACCTCCACATGCTCCCCTCTATGGTGGAGCTATGCTGACTAAGGCTAACATAGCATCATGCCTAGGAGCTGAAGGACACTCGAGAAGCAAATTCTAATTTGCTTGATTAGGCATGCTTGAGGCACCCTTTGGCCGAGCCAAGCGAATTGCCTTCTTTGCCTTGAAGATGACATGCGTGTCACCCTTGATGTGATTGAGCACTTCTCCACTCATGTGTGTCCCTCTCATGCCTCCGTCCCTCACCCCCAAGACTAATCCACAAGACGTGTCAAGCGCGCTCATTCTTTGACTAAGCATGCGCATCTCATCATGTTCCTTGTCATGTCTTTCCTCGGGTCAGCCGAGGGTTTTACATCAGAACGCACATCTCCTACGATCTATACTTGGTTTTACAAGGTACCCTAATGCTATCAAGCCTACCTAGGTCGGGTGCAGGACATAAGAACTTGTGGCATGTTTGATTGGAAAGATTAGAGTATGGGATTGGGATTATTAATCCGCGGGCCCAATTATCCCATGTTTGTTTTGACATTTTGTTTTAGGATTATCAATCTAATGGATAATTAATCAAACAAATTTGTAAGATTATTAGTAATGGGGTAGTGGTGGGATTGTAAATACCACACTAATTTGATTGAATTATTAATACCTCACTATTAGTTTTGTGAAATCAAACATGGCCTTGGGGTTGGCGCCACGGTCATGGAACATTTGTGACCCTGTTGTGTGATCACTGGAGTCTTGTGACTTGGTGTCTAAGGTTAAGGGTTCATCTTTGTCAAGATGGCCCATCCCATTTTTTAATAAGGCCTTTACTGGTCTTTTAGAGAGAAATTTCTACAGTAAGACAATTCCAGACTATGTCCAAGTAGTTGAGGAGCTCACCTAACCACTGTTGTAGCTGCTGAGGCCCCTAGGCCTCAGAGTATTCAACGCCTTTGGCGGTGGCTGCTATCTCCAAATTGTTGGGCCAAAAAGGAGAAGCCACTAGTCACCTTTTGTCTTCAGTCGAGCATGTGACACTAGTGTATCTACCCAGAATGCTTTCCTCTCACAGACAAGTTTAGTAGCTTTGCTCTCTCGCTCTCTCTCTCTCCACCTTTGGTGTTCATACACCAGCCCAGTGCTTATCGCAGCTTCCCAGAAGGCTGCACAGTTTGTCCACCCACCATCAAAACCATTCATAGTGGTCTATGATTTTCTGATTTTTTTTCTGGCACTATTGACTATTAGTTTTAGCATTTTCTGATCATTCTTGGCCGTTTTACTGTCGGAGTTGTGTATGTAACTATAGTAAAATAATTTACAGATACTTTGTAGCCATTGTTGATGAACGATTGATGTGAAATGACATGACCTAATTGACCTTGAGTTTTCATTTTCCATATATACCTGTGTGAGCTGCCAATCATTCTCCTATCCTGCCTTTTCTTTTTTCTTTTCTTTTTTTGGAAAGTAAAATTTTTATTAGAAAATCAGTGCCACGAAATGGGGTGTAACATTGTACACCAGATGTATAGAAAAAACAAAAGGTATATTCCCGTATATATCTACAGGAATGTACAACTGCCCCAAAAAGTCGAGAAAACCACATAAGTAAAATGAAAAAATATCCTTAAGCCACAAATACAAGGAGAAAAGCACAAATCATTTAAAACTAAAAATCAAACTCTCATTACTGTCAAAAGATTTCCTATTCCTCTCATTCTAAAGAATTACTTGGATATGACAAAAAAACATCGAGTAAAAAGAAAAACGATTCTGTTAGGCATACAATTAACGTGTTGGAAATGGCTTGATTATTATGGTTCATCATTGGTATAACTCTGGTTTTATTGCTGAACATTAGATTTTAGAATTATTATTATCATTTAAGAGTTGTGGCAAAATGTATTTCCTATTATCAGGCATTACTAGGCTACGTGATTGATAGCTTTTCATGAACACAGGGTTATCAACAGATGTCAGGGAGCAACAGAATGGAAACTACATCATTATAAGAGATGTGGAAAATAACCAATTGGGAAAGCTTGACAAACGCTAATTTGATGAACAACTCCAATCTTTTCATCAACTATTCATCGAAATTACCTAGAGACACTCTTATATGAACCTAGAGAGAGAGAGAGAGAGAGAGAGAGAGAGAAAAAACAAAATTACCTTGTTGGAGGCAATAGGGACAATCTTCAGTGTCTGAGACTCCTTATCAAGAACCCCAAGAGCATAATTACAAAGCTGAGGAGCCGTGGCCTCACCCGAATAGTTCGTACCGACGAAATTGACTTGCGACCCATTAGGGCTGACGACGAGTTGCAACCTCTTGGTCCGATTCTCGTGCCTGAAAACCCTAACCTTGGGTTGCTCCTGTGTCGATGATTCTTCTTTGAGAGGATCGAATCCAGAAGGAAAGTAACCGACGAGAGGGGCGATCTTGTCGGGATGTTCACTGAAAGTTTCGATCTTCTTCACATGAATGTTCTCTTTCTTCTTCTTCATCTTCTTCTTCTTCTTTTCCCTCTTGTTCTCTTCTTCTTCTTCTTCATCTTCTTCGATTGTTGTCTCTGGTTTAACTTCTTCCGAAGACTCTTCGGCTTTGTACAGCTTCGTCTTTGCCATGGTGTCTCGCTCTCTCTTGCAGTGGAGTGAGCAGTTTTTTGGGGTTTGAATTGAAGATGGTGCTGGTGAGAAACCCTAAATACATTTTTATGATTATGTTACATTTTAGTCCTCTAAGTTTTAGTGAATTTCTAACCTGGCAATTAAATTTTATTTATTTATAATTTAGGCCTCATTTGGGAACAGGCTAATTTAAATTTTTTGACTATTTAGCTAAAATATGAGCTAAAAAAAACTAGTATGTTTGGAATGATTTTTGAATTTTTACGAAAAGATATGCAAAAAGTAGAGAGAAAAAAGAATCTTTGACTTTGTGGTATGAGTTGTTGACTTTTTGGCTAATTTAATAATTTTTTGACTAAAATTGAGGGTTCCCAAACGAGGCCTTAGTTCTTAAATATTTAATATCTTCCAATTTGGCCTAATTACCAACTGTGGTCCCATTTTTTACGAAAATTACCATGGGTCCTATCCTCACTATTTTTATTTAAATTTTATAAAATTTTTGATTCAATATTGGAGATGATCTAAAACTTAAAATTCGACATATTAAAAAAATTGAATTAACTCAAACCATATAAGACGGGTTGGTTCAGTTATCAAATTTTATAGGATAAATTATATTTTATTCTTTTTATGTTTGGTCATTATTTAACTTTACCATTAAAGTTTATTTTTTTCTCACTTTAATTTTTCATGTTTCAAAATTTTCTCAGCTTACTCATAAAGTTAATTTCTATTAAAAATTAAATAAAAAATGACATATTAACAATCACGTGGTATAATTTTTTTTTATTATATATAACTCACATTTTTGACATAAACTTAAATCTTAATATAATAATATATTTTTTATGTGATGTAACAGTTATTATGACATTTTCTATCTAATTTTGAAGGTAATTTAGTTTTATGACTAAATTGAGAAAAATTTGAAATATAAATGGCCAAATTGAGAAAAAATAAACCTTAATAACTAAAGTGAGAAACTGGTCAAACATAAAAAAGGCAAAGCATAATTTACCTAATTTTATGGATATTTTGTCAACGTCAAACTTATAAGACTATCTCTAATGTTTTACCTTTTCTTTTATCAAATTTAAATTTGATGAAAAACTAATTAAAATCCTGCTCCAACATTGTCATTAGTTTAATATTAAATTGAGAATGTCTAAAAGTTTTCATCAAATTGAATATGCCTAAAACTTTTTATCAAATTATTGTAGATAGTTGTTAGTGTTGGAGTATTGGACGATCGACCGGTTGTTCTTCGGACATCCACTTCTTTGTAATTTTCACTAACTGGTTGACTGATTAGACGTCCTCCTGATCATCCTTTCGATTGACCAATGATTTGATGAAAAATAAAAAAAAAATTATTAAAACGCGCAATATCAAATGAAATTTTACTTAAATTTGATAAAATAAATCAATAAACGTTGTAGATGTCTTAACATGATTTATAAAAAAATATAAATTAATAAAAAAAGTACATTCCTTGTTCTATCAAACAACTAGTGTATACCCGTACCTGAAAGTACAGTGAAAATATGGTTGGGATTAAAATATAATTGATTATAAAATTATTGAGTTTGACATCGGTGGGCCCACAAAAGGTTTTGGCCCACCACTTAGAGCCTAATTCACGGTTCAAGTACTAAAACCCAACACCTTTGAAAACCCAACGTTGAACCAGGAACCAATGACATCCAAACACTTGTCAAGCAAGGAACTAGCCACGTAAGTAGACAAAGATCCTACAGAGTTATTGCACTACATATTAGCCATTAATGAGGCTCCTACAACATTAAATGCGATAACCCCTTCAGGTCGGAACAGGCAGCCTGACCGTGAACAATGCAAGCTATAGTATAGACTTTCGGCCAACATGATAGGTCGTAGTGGACAAGGAAATAATAGACAAAGGATATAAGGAGGCTTCCAAGACACATCAAAGGTTAAGTTCTCCATTCTTCTTCTTTCTCTTACTCTCTCTCTCTCTACACAGTCAATCTCATTTTTTTTCTAATTTGATCGTCGGAAGGTCTGCTGGGGGACTCTCATTCCCTGTTAGATTTTTTTGCAGGCACCACCAGCGAGCTCCGAGACCGGTGAAAGGTATTGAAAGTGCGGGTCGACCAAACTCGCCCTCCCTTGGATCAGCAACATCATCAGAGTTAAAATGTAATTTAAAATGTAATTGCCTATAAATAGATGGTCTGTTTGGTTTTGGATTTTCAAATGAATTTTATAATTAGATTTTGAAAAGAGTTTGTCAAACTCAAAATTTTGTTTGGTTGCATATTTTAAAAATAATTTTTACAAATTTATAATTCAAAATTTATTTGGTTTTAGAGTTTTCAAAAATAGTTTTTAAATTTTCAAATTGTATTTTATTATTTTTAGTGAACTTTTTAAATATAGAGAGATGTTATTTAATCAAAAAATTAGACCTCCCTATCCGTCTTGCAAACTTAACAATAAATATATAAAAATTGTCCAATTAAATTTAACAATAAATTTTGCTAGAAAATTTTATTTTTAACAATAAGCAAGTTTCAATGATATCATTGTGATTAATGTAGTATTTGAACTCAAATTCTCAATGCAAAAATAGTTGCATTTTATTTGTCAAACAGAAATGTAAGTGGCAAAAATTGGTGGTGTCCATGATTAGTAATAATGGCGAAGGTAATATGATGAAAACTATTGGAATTTATCAAGAAAATGTGAAAATAGTGATGATACAATTACTTTTTTATACTCGTACAAATGCAAACAAAGACTAGATCATCAAATATTTACTATTGTAGTTTTTTTTGTTTTTTTTTAACCCACCTGCAATATGCAACAAAAAATAATCACTTTATTACCCTGACCAACAACAATACCCAATTAAATTTCTATATTTTACTTTGGTGTTTGAGTGAGGAGGCTTCAGATCAGAGCTGGCGGGGTGGGGAGTGATTTTTTGGCTAAATGTCATATAAGACTTTGTACTTTCCTACCTCTTCATTTTGGTTTTCCTCTTTTGCTGGACACACTTTCAACTTGGATCATGAAACTCATCACTTTTGCAATATGTATTCATCGGAGTGGACGAAACATTTGCATATAGTTCTTTAGTTGTGTGTAAACTTGGTGCTTTACCCATTTCTCGAAAAATCATATTTTTTTTAGAGAGTGAGTTTTGGTTGCAATAAAGAAGAGAGAGATAATGGCTATAGTTTTGCATTAATTTTAATCTAATGGATGAAATCTACCAATTTCTATGGCTTGGTGGTCAGTTTACCGTACAGAAAATTAAATAAATGAAAATAAATAAATTGTTTGCTATAGGTAAATAAATAAATTAAACATAGATTTTCAAAATTTATAAGTAAACGAAATAGTGAAAAGTAAACACATAAATGCTACACAAAATTCAATCACAACAAAAGTAAAAGATTTTAAACAAACATCAAAGTGTAAACCCCATAACACAGAAACATTAAAAAAAAATTAGATGAAATACATTTACCAGTGCTTTGCAATAGAAAAAAATAAACAACAACACCAGGTAGTATTTTGCAATACAAAGAAAATGTCGAATAACAAATTAAGCACACCATCCAATGCTCTACAATACAAAGAAAATGATAAATAAATAAAGCACATCAACCGATATTATGCAATAAAAAAAAATAACAAACAACAAATTAAGCACATAAATCAATGTTCCACAATAGAAAAAAAAAAAAACAAATAAACAAAGCACAACAGTCGTGCTTTGCAATACAAAAAAATTACAAAAATTGTGTAATGAACAATTATTTAAATATGGATTAATACGTAGACAATCCAATTCTATATGAAAATAAATTATCAACTTAATATAAAAGTAACACCCTTCTTGAAAAAAATTCAAATTCAAATTTAAATTCAAATTCAATCAAATAAAGATATGATTAGTTTTCTTTAACCTAATTGAAGAGCATAGAAAGAGGAACAACAAAACATAAAAGAAAACTAAAATAAATAAGTAATAAATTTCAAATTTTTTATTTCTTAATGAATTTATCATGAATGTAGGCTTCCCACCTCATTTTGACATAACAGGGGTGATACCTTCAAGAGTTTCCACCTCATTCTCTAACATATTTTCAAGATCAACCCTGTTTAAGGAATAGTTTATATCAATTTAATAAAAAATCAGTCTAATAAAAGATCAAATATCAATAGGAAATAAAATAAATTAAATAAAACTAACCCAAGCTATTTTGAAGACTAATCTTATTGTTGATAGCAGAATATCATGGATGACACAACAAACCCAAACTACTTTTACAACCAGTTGTGTTGGAATGTCAGAGGTCCTAAAAAGAGAAATGAATTCAGAAACAAACCACAAAAATAGTGCATCAAAGTACACTGGTCTTTATTAATAAAAAAAATAAAATTCATAACCATGATCAAATAAAAGGGGGGAAACTAAAGTCAAATATATAAAAATTAAGAGGCAACAATACTATAACATCCTCCTCCTTCAACCTACCAATCAATTATTCATTTTCAGTGAAATTCTGACATCCAGCACAATAGACACTAAATTTACACAAAAATCCATGTCAAGCATATGTGACTTCTGTCACAACCCAAACCCGGTATCCAAAGGCTCAGCGTCGCAACAAGATAAAAACAAAATAATTCGAATAATTTTATAGTCGTAGTGCAACGGATAAATTTAATAAATTAAAATAAAAAAAATTGTGTACCAAATGTTTATTTAAAAGAAACAAAACATAGTCGTTTGGGCTTTTATTTTATTACAAAAGTCCGATAAAAGAAAGAGGTAGAAATCTTGAAAAAAAGAAGAAAAAAAAAACAACACAACGATTCCTTTCCCATCTTGATCCAGCTAAACCTTGTCATTTGAAAGGGGTAACAACTATAAGCACATAGCAGAGTGAGAAATATTATACGGTGAGTAAAAATAGCCATGGATAATTTCTTAAGCTAAACATTTAAGTTGCATAAATAAACTATTTAAGTGGCAGAAACTGAAATAAATATTATGTAAATAAC